CGTCCAAGCAGTCACTGCAGAGTCGGTAACGACTGAGCGCAGATTAAAAAAAAAAAAATGGTGTATTTATTTCTAGAGATGGCTTATTGAAAAATTGATTATGTGTTGTTAAGTTGGTGTCAACTCTTAGCAATCACATAGAATGATATGTTCCCAACCTGGCCCTTCAGATTTTTCAGTGTTGTAATTGAGTCTATCCACCTTGCTGGTGGCCATCCTCTTCTTCTCTTTCCTTTCACATTTCCCAGCATTAGAGCCTTCTCCTGAGAGCTAGACCTTTGTATAATGTGTCCAAATATCATAATTTGAGTCTGGTCATTTATACATCAAGTGAGAACTCTGGATCGATTTGTTTTATTTGTTTTCTTGGCTATCTATGGTAATCTCAAGAGTCTTCAACACTAACATTTAAAAGTATCAATATTCTTTCTATCCTATTATCACAGGGAAAACCACTGCCTGAATACTTCTGATCTTTATAGGTATATACATGTCACAGTTTCTGACAATTCTTTTTCAAGGCCTTCATTGCTATCCAGCAAGTGCTAGTGTGCAGCATATTTCTTGACTGTGGTTTCTTCAAACAAACAAACAAACAAACAAATAAATAGCAGAAGCTATCTACCACTTCAATATCTTTTTTGTCAATTCTAAGTCTGGTTGCTGTACCTATTATCATTTATTTGGTCTTTAATTTTAGCCCTATTTTTCCACTGTGTTCCTTGATTTTTATTACTAGAGCCTGCAGATCATTTGTATTTTTTCATCTATGAAAAATATATTTTTAAAACAAAGATTTTTTTTAAAAAATGAAAAATTATATCACTACTAATGTATCAGAAGATGAAAAGTTCCACACCTAGGAGCTGTTATAATAGCATTCCACGTTTTAAAAAAGTATAATCGTGATATTATGATAGCTTCCTGTTGATATACCCAAATAATATTGAAATATAATATTATTTAAAGTGGATTTCAGTGTTTTGGACATCCATCCATCCATCCATCCATCCATCCATCCATCCATCTACTGAATTTGTCACCACCCATCTTGTTAAATGACTCTGGCAGTTTACAAAACAATTAAAATCAATTAAAATTACAAAATTACAATAATAAATAAAAAGATCCAAAATAATTGGCGATCACTCAGGAAGTGTCATTGAGGTGCTAGCCAATCCCAGGATTGTTATCCCCCCATGCAAGCTGGCAGAGCCAGGTCTTCAATTTTTTCCAGAAGGTTGGTAGGGTAGGGGCCTGCCGCACTTCTGGGGGAAGAATGTTCCAAAAGGCAGGGCAACGGCAGAGAAGGCTCTCCTCCTGGGCCCTGCCAGTCTGACAGGACCCGCAACATGACCTCTCTGCCTGACCAGGTGGGACAAGTTGATGTGACAGGGGTAAGATGGTCCCTCAGGTAACCTGGACCTATGCCATGTAGGGCTTTAAAGGTGATAACCAACACTTTGAATTGGACCCAGAAGCAGACTGGACCCCAATGCAGTTCGCGTAGTAAAGGTGTTATATGCGCTGTTCTTGGGGCACTCAAAATTATCTGCGCGGCCGCATTTTGGACCAGCTGTAGCTTCCAGATACTCTTCAAAGGTAGCCCCATGTTGTGATGGAAGGCATGAGTGGGGAGGATTCCTGAATGGAGCTTCAAGGGTATACGGAGGGGGAAGTGACATTCCAAGCATCTCCTCAGCCCCTAGCTGGACTGTGTGAAAGTAAGGAGGAAGAGACTGGCCCCTCCCTAAGGGCTTGATGGTTATAGTTGTTCTCGTTGGGGAATTGGAGTTAGTCTGGTGAAATTCTGTCTATTGGGTAGTAGCTAATAAAGAAGCTGAGCTGATTTCCGGACAGTCTTGTGTGATTCTTGGGCTGAACCTGACAATGTAGAGTGCATTGCAGTAGTCTAGCTGTCAGATGACCAGGACATGAGGCTCCTGATCCAGGAAGAGGTGTAACTGGCATACCACACAAAGGTGGGCAAAGGCTCTCCTGGCCACGACTGCCACCTGCTCCTCGATTAGCCCCCAGATTATGCACCGGGTCTGTCTGGGGCAGTGCAACCCCATCCAAAACCAAAGATGGTAAATCCTTGGATACAGAGGGGCCTCCAATCCATAGCCAGGGTTCAGCTGAAGCCTGTTGCACCCCATCCAGACTCTCACAGCCTCCAGGCACCGCAGGTCACAGCATCACTCACCTCACCCGGGATGGAGATGTATAACTGGGTATCATCAGCATATTGATGATATCTCATCCCATGGTTATGGATGATCTCACCCAGTGGTTTCATATAGATGTTAAAAAGGAGCGGAGAGAGTACCAAACTCTGGGGCACCCCACAAAGGAGGGGCTGCGAACTGGACCTCTCACCCCTAATCAACACCGGTTGGGATTGACCTTGGAGGAAGGAAGAGAACTAGCGCAAAGCTGTGCCACCCACTCTCAACTCCCCAAGTCAACCCAAAAGGATACCATGGTCGATGGTATCGAAAGCCGCTGAGAGGTCAAGAAGAGGAAAGATGGATGCACTACCCCCATCCTGCTCCTGTCAGAGATCATCTATGAGTGTGACCATTGCTGTTTCCATCCTGTATCCGGGCTTGAAACCTGACTGAAAAGGGTCCAGATAATCTGTTTCCTCCAGGATCCTCGGGAGTTGCAATGCCACCACCTTCTTAACCACCTTCCCTAAAAAGGGGAGATGGGAGACCAGACAAAAATTGTCCAATATGGTGGGATCCAGTGATGGCTTCTTGAGGAGGGGGTATACCAGTGCCTCCTTAAAGGCAGTTGAAAACACCTCCTCCCTCAAGGATGAATTCAACATTGCCTGGACCCAGCCACATGTCACCTCCCGGGAAGCTTTAACTAGCCAGGAGGGACATGGATCTAGTTGACAGTTGGTGGCATTGATTGTCCGGAGGACCCTGTCCACTTCCTCAGGTTCAACAGGATCAAACTGTTCCCAGATAGCAGGGTAAGAACATACCCTGGGCATCCCTACAGACCATGCCTCACCCTTGGTATCCAACTGGAACTGGATCTCAGTGATTTTATCCTCCAGATGCCTAGAAAACTCCTCTGCATGGCCCTGTAAATGGGCTACGGAGCCCCCCTTTCCCAAAAGAGATTGAGTGTTCTTGAACAGGGCTGCCAGGTGGCATTCTGCAGATGCAACAAGAGCAGAGAAATATTGACGTTTCACCACTCTTACCACCACAAGGTAGGCCTTAATAGCAGCTCTAGCTTGTGTTCCGTCGGGTTCGGTCCTTGTTTTCCTCCAGTGGCACTCTAGATGTCTTTTGACCCTTTTCAAAACCCTCAACTCCTCCGTAAACCATGGGGAGTGTTGGGTTCGATGGGTCAAGAGGTCACACGGGCACGATTTTGTCCAAGGCCTTGGCCGCTTTTCTATTCCAGGTAGCAGAAAAGGCCTCCACTGGACCTTGCAGCAGACTCTCAGGTATAACCCCCAGCTCCCTTTGGAACCCAACTGGGTCCATCAGTTGTTGGGGGCAGACCGATTGAATGGGTCCTACCTCCCTGCAAAGGGGAGTAGCATAGGAGAATCTCAAGGCCACCAGGACATGATCTGACCATTACAACAGGGACAGATGTAATTCCTCCTTCAGATCAGATTGCCACTGCTCTGACAAGAAAACCAAGGCCGGTGTGAGACCACTGTCCCGAGCTGGGTCATGGATAAACTGGGACAGGCCCATGGCTGCTGGCACGCCCCAGGGATGGCACATTGAAGTCCCCCAAGACCATCAGTTTGGGGAACTCCACTGCCAGCCCCGTGATGGCCTCCAGCAGTTCAGGCAGGGAGGTTGCTATACAGCAGGGAGGCTGGTACAGTAACAACAACTGTGCTTGCGAACCCAACTTCAGGAACAGGGTCTCACAGCCGGCTACTTGTGGAGCAGCGCCCCTGAAGGCCAACAGAAATCTTACATTTCCAGATAAGATTTTTGAAATTAACTTTTACAATACTTTTTACATTTTTATAAGACTAAAATTACCCTGAAATAAACTCCTTTCATTTCTCTACATTACTCCCATACTTCTTAGTGGTATACTGTAATTAAAATAATATTTATTGTATTTATTGCCATAATACAATACTGAGTTAAACTCACTGAAGCCCACTGATTGATCTACTTACGTATCTCTTGGTATAGGTATAGCAGAAAGTCTGAAGTTCAGAAAAGGACTAGCAAGCTCAATAAATTGTTCTGGCTTTTTAATCACAATTTCTGAAAAGAAACAACAATCACAACAATAAAAAGGAGAGCACTGAAATGCAAGAAATAAATGTCCCATATAGAGGCAATAGACTCAGTTCATTACACTTGTTCTCTGGAAGGTCAACACATTTGGGATGTTAGGACAGCCATTCCTATTTCATCCAAAAGTAAGAAATATATTCACCTAATTATAATACAAATTTCCATAAATCTAC